GTATATATATGTAGATATATTATACCTAGAAAAACACCTGTCTAGTATATATATGTAGATATATAATACCTAGAAAAATACCTGTCTAGTAATATATATATACTAGAAGATATATACCTGTCTAGTATATATATGTATCTACATAGATATATACCTGTCTAGTATATATATGTATATAAATACCTGTCTAGTATATATATGTAGATATATCATACCTAGAAAAACACCTGTCTAGTATATATATATAGATATATAATACCTAGAAAAATACCTGTCTAGTATATATATATGTAGTATATATACCTGTCTAGTATATATATGTAGATATATACCTGTCTAGTATATATATGTAGATATATACCTGTCTAGTATATATATGTAGATATATAATACCTAGAAAAACACCTGTCTAGTATATATATATAGTAAAAATACCTGTCTAGTATATATATGTAGATATATCATACCTAGAAAAATACCTGTCTAGTATATATATGTAGATATATAATACCTAGAAAAACACCTGTCTAGTATATATATGTAGATATATTATACCTAGAAAAATACCTGTCTAGTATATATATGTAGATATATTATATAGAAAAATACCTGTCTAGTATATATATGTAGATATATAATACCTAGAAAAACCTGTCTAGTATATATATGTAGATATATAATACCTAGAAAAATACCTGTCTAGTATATATATGTAGATATATACCTGTCTAGTATATATATGTCGATATATACCTGTCTAGTATATATATGTAGATATATACCTGTCTAGTATATATATGTAGATTTATTATACCTAGAAAAATACCTGTCTAGTATATATATGTAGATATATAATACCTAGAAAAACACCTGTCTAGTATATATATATATATAGATATATTATACCTAGAAAAATACCTGTCTAGTATATATATGTAGATATATAATACCTAGAAAAATACCTGTCTAGTAATGTAGATATATTATACCTAGAAAAATACCTGTCTAGTATATATATGTATCTACATATCATACCTAGAAAAATACCTGTCTAGTATATATATGTAGATATATACCTGTCTAGTATATATATGTAGATAAATACCTGTCTAGTATATATATGTAGATATATACCTGTCTAGTATATATATGTAGAAAAATACCTGTCTAGTATATATATGTAGATATATACCTGTCTAGTATATATAAGTAATCAGATGTCTAATTTGGCGTTGTGTATCTATATTAGGATACTCAAGGTCACTTCTGACCGTGAACGTGACATGTATGACTGCAATGAACATGATGTCACGTGTCAGGATAGAATTCTCAGTCCTGATAAAAGTTACATGGAAAAGTCAACAAATGAAATAAACATTTCGTGATATCACAGGTACAACGTTATCTATATCATATCTACTTAATGAGTTAATATTATAAAAATATGTGTATCGCCATAGTATCAGTATATATTATATATGTATATCACAATTTATATAATAAAATTATAAGTTTATATTATACAACATTTATATAATAAAATTATAAGTTGATATTATACAACATTTATATAATAAAATTATAAGTTTATATTATACAACATTTATATAATAAAATTATAAGTTTATATTATACAACATTTATATAATAAAATTATAAGTTTATATTATACAACATTTATATAATAGAATTATAAGTTTATTTTATACAACATTTATATAATAAAATTATAAGTTTATTTTATACAACATTTATATAATAAAATTATAAGTTTATATTATACAACATTTATATAATAAAATTATAAGTTTATATTATACAACATTTATATAATAAAATTATAAGTTTATATTATACAACATTTATATAATAAAATTATAAGTTTATATTATACAACATATATATCACAATATCAGTAAAGCTTGCCACTTCTTTCATGTTTAACTGATTTCATTTATCACAAGTCTACATGTACATGGCACGACAAAATCACACCACCGACACCAGATGAGTGATATGAAATAGTGTATGTCAAGGTTACACCATCGACACCAGATGAGTGATATGAAATAGTGTATGTCAAGGTTACACCATCGACACCAGATGAGTGATATGAAATAGTGTATGTCAAGGTTACACCATCGACACCAGATGAGTGATATGAAGTTATTTATGACAAGGTTACACCATCGACACCAGATGAGTGATATGAAGTTATTTATGACAAGGTTACACCATCGACACCAGATGAGTGATATGAAGTTATTTATGACAAGGTTACACCATCGACACCAGATGAGTGATATGAAGTTATTTATGACAAGGTTACACCATCGACACCAGATGAGTGATATGAAGTTATTTATGACAAGGTTACACCATCGACACCAGATGAGTGATATGAAGTTATTTATGACAAGGTTACACCATCGACACCAGATGAGTGATATGAAGTTATTTATGACAAGGTTACACCATCGACACCAGATGAGTGATATGAAGTTATTTATGACAAGGTTACACCATCGACACCAGATGAGTGATATGAAGTTATTTATGACAAGGTTACACCATCGACACCAGATGAGTGATATGAAGTTATTTATGACAAGGTTACACCATCGACACCAGATGAGTGATATGAAGTTATTTATGATAAGGTTACACCATCGACACCAGATGAGTGATATGAAGTTATTTATGACAAGGCTACACCATCGACACCAGATGAGTGATATGAAGTTATTTATGACAAGGTTACACCATCGACACCAGATGAGTGATATGAAGTTATTTATGACAAGGTTACACCATCGACACCAGATGAGTGATATGAAGTTATTTATGACAAGGTTACACCATCGACACCAGATGAGTGATATGAAGTAGAGTAGGTAGTAGAGATTTCCTTTAGAATCAAATTTATCTGAATTTCACTCGTTTGGCCTTTAAGCGTCAAGAAAATGTGGAAAATGTTGCTTTATCCATTAATTGAGTATTGCAAGATACTACACGCCTGTGGTGTTGTACAATCACACGGAAAACATCTAGTCCAAGAGGTTTGCCATTTATTTATGTTGTTTTTTTTTAATTTAAATTTTTGAAACTATGGAGTTCGCCTCCATATCCAATTTTTGACATTTCTTTTGATAATTTCCCTTAATCGCCTCGTAGTTTTCAACACAGTAGGCAGCTATTATCACTGAACATACCTATAAGGACGAAACAACTGTATGATGTAGTATCATTGACAAATATTTTAAGGACGAAACAACTGTATGATGTAGTATCATTGACAAATCCTATAAGGACGAAACAGCTGTATGATGTAGCATCACTGATAAGTCCTAGAAGGACGAAACAGCTGTATGATGTAGTATCACTGACGAGTCCTAGAAGGACGAAACAACTGTATGATGTAGTATCATTGACAAATCCTATAAGGACGAAACAACTGTATGATGTATCATTGACAAATCCTATAAGGACGAAACAACTGTATGATGTAGTATCATTGACAAATCCTATAAGGACGAAACAACTGTATGATGTATCATTGACAAATCCTATAAGGACGAAACAACTGTATGATGTAGTATCATTGACAAATCCTATAAGGACGAAACAACTGTATGATGTAGTATCATTGACAAATCCTATAAGGACGAAACAACTGTATGATGTATCATTGACAAATCCTATAAGGACGAAACAACTGTATGATGTAGTATCATTGACAAATCCTATAAGGACGAAACAACTGTATGATGTAGTATCATTGACAAATATTTTAAGGACGAAACAACTGTATGATGTAGTATCATTGACAAATCTTTTAAGGACGAAACAACTGTATGATGTAGTATCATTGACAAATCCTATAAGGACGAAACAACTGTATGATGTAGTATCATTGACAAATTCTATAAGGACGAAACAACTGTATGATGTAGTATCATTGACAAATCCTATAAGGACGAAACAACTGTATGATGTAGTATCATTGACAAATCCTATAAGGACGAAACAACTGTATGATGTAGTATCATTGACAAATCTTTTAAGGACGAAACAACTGTATGATGTAGTATCATTGACAAATCCTATAAGGACGAAACAGCTGTATGATGTAGTATCATTGACAAATCTTTTAAGGACGAAACAACTGTATGATGTAGTATCATTGACAAATCCTATAAGGACGAAACAACTGTATGATGTAGTATCATTGACAAATCTTTTAAGGACGAAACAACTGTATGATGTAGTATCATTGACAAATCCTATAAGGACGAAACAACTGTATGATGTAGTATCATTGACAAATCTTTTAAGGACGAAACAACTGTATGATGTAGTATCATTGACAAATCCTATAAGGACGAAACAACTGTATGATGTAGTATCATTGACAAATCTTTTAAGGATGAAACAACTGTATGATGTAGTATCATTGACAAATATTTTAAGGACGAAACAGCTGTATGATGTAGCATCACTGACGAGTCCTATAAGGACGAAACAGCTGTATGAAAGAGTCTGGGAAAGTCGGGTCTATAAGCAGATCATAATACCGGGGAAAGCCTCTCCAGACAGGAACATAGTTGCTCGTTCAATCTACTGTAAAACACGACTGTCTATCGGACTCACTTAAACATAACACGAATCCTGTAGACATTGTCACGTTTGTCAGGAGTCTTGTGATCTGGCGAAGATTTACTTGGAACATTAATTGTTCTGTTGAATCAATGATCATTTGGTAATGTTTTAAACGTTCCTATGATATTGAATTTTTACAAAATATTGTCCTACACAAGAAAAGGGGTTGCTTTTCAGTTTCGGCACTTTTTGAAGGGTTACAGATTCCATATGAAAATCAGTGGTCGGACAGCATTGGCTCACTGTTACATCTCTTTGTTGAAATAATAATCTATTCTTTTGATATTCCACATTAAAACTATGCAAACATCTATCAATGATTTTGTAGATATCCTGTCGTCATGGCAACGGTACATCCTGCCCCTCCATATCGCTCTGAGGTAGATGTTGATGGATTGGAGAGCTTCGAGAGTACCGAAATATTGACTTCTAATACCTATAACAAGACGGAGATAGAACCTTCCTCACAAATTCATCATTCTACCGCTTTAGATGTTGATAACCATTCACAGACCTCGTTTACGGGTGATTTAGACGACTCAAATACATTGAAATCAGACTTGGACGTTGAACGGTCGAGCGAAACCAACTCTTCTGTGAGTCCTTCACAGGACAACGATAATTCACTCGGATCAAGCCATAACTTTCACACAGACAAAATGGCGACAGCTTTTCCGATTAGCTCCCTTGGAGTGGATTATGAGCGATCGTGTGAAGTAAACAGTCAGGATGTAGATTGGCAGCTCTCTTCTCCCGGGCAAACCGGCATTAAGACACAACCAGAGACATGTCGGACGGGAGAAAATTCCAATTTCACTACCAGCAATACTGCGACATCTTATGGGACCTCACGCCAATCAGTGGACCCGACATGTAAACTCACTGTGAAGGAACAGTCAAAAGTAGACCGAGAATTATCCAAGAAACAGGTCCAGGACTTACGACCTTCTAAGATTGTTGTCATCTTTAAATGGGTGGCCACGTTGTTACTGGGACTAACAGCACTCGGATGTCTAATAGCTAGCCGAGTCTCCTTCATATCAATAGCTGTACGTCTGCGCATGCCCGAAAATGACAACATCCCTAACAGTTCTTACGCCTACACAATGATCACCATGATACTTCTGATCCCAAACGTCTTTAACCTGCTGAGGTCTCTATGGATGGGCTTGTCTCGTAAAGATATGCCGTGGCCGAGTAGGAGGTCCATTTTCTGGGTAAGTGATGTTCTCTCACGACATTTAAATAAACATCCAAAAGTATCCAAGAGAAATGTGATATTTTATAGACAAATAAAAAAAAAATTCTACAACGTTTTTATTTTTTTAAAGTATTGATTAAGATAAACGATGACATTGTATTAGATTGATGAAATTCAGCATATATTGTCAAGTGAAAGGACTAGGCGTGTTTTTTGTTGCTGTCAATAGAGTGACAGTAGTGCGACACAGTTTCATCGTTAAGCAATCTCTGGTGTTTCAGATAGTAGGGACCAGTATCGTCGAGTCGTTTGGGATATGCCTCTTTGCATTTAAAATCTTCGGTCTGCAGTTCGGGGTGACCAGCATTGTGATGTCCGGGGGAGTGTTTTTTGGGCCGATGTTTTACCTGATCTACCGCCGTAATCGTTGTAACAAACCGCTGTCTGTAACACTAAGCTGTGGAGCCGGAATGGTGCTCCTGGCGATCGTTATTATCATCGGAGTATGGAGGGGTTTCACCCTGCTGGAGGCCATAAGTGCATGGCACATTCCTGTAGCTATACTATGTATCATGTTCACATGGATCCCTAGGGTACAGAAACGTTTGATTTCTCTGTCGACCTCATCAGGTGCATGGACTTCAAACGTCCTACCGAACTCTAAAGACCATTCAGGAGAAATCGAAAACCTTGAATCGAATATGGAAAGTGGAAGGTTTGAAGCCTCTTATCAACTTGATAATGTCGTTGAAAACACGCAGAACGTAGTGGTAAACATGGAAACACAGTCTTTCTGGAAGTCGGCTATCATCATGTCCGCGTGTCGAATCCCTGCAATCATCTTATTCTCTGTAATTCTTTACTTTTTTGACACGGACAAATCCTTTATCGGAGGAGCGATGGAATCCTTCAGAAATTCCTGGAGCCATTTCACCACGGATACCACCGCTCTTAACATGTTTATTGTCAACATAGTGTGTACCTTCATCGGTTACTTCATATCTCTATCAGCTTGTAGAATCAACATGCAAAGAGGAGCCTTCGTTCTGCCACTTATGTTTTCGACTCCGGGAGTGATGGCTGTAGTGTCGGGACTCTGTAGCTCCGGTGACTACTTTATTGTAGATGGAATTGATGAAGATGTGTGCGACACCGGGGAAGTGGTGTACAGTGCGATTTCCAGTGTACTTCTCCTTATATCAATATGTATGTCATTTGGCTGGATTATCTGGACCACAGATACAGTGATCATGTGCTCGGAATCCGAGGTAAGACATCTTTTATTAATCTTGTCTAGATTATCATTTATCAGATCTGAGGGGGAGATTGTGTTCTCGTGTACATAAGATCTGGGATGGAGACTGTGTTCTCGTGTACATAAGATCTGGGATGGAGACTGTGTTCTCGTTTACATAAGATCTGGGATGGAGACTGTGTTCTCGTTTACATAAGATCTGGGATGGAGACTGTGTTCTCGTTTACATAAGATCTGGGATGGAGACTGTGTTCTCGGATGGAGACTGTGTTTTACATAAGATCTGGGATGGAGACTGTGTTCTCGTTTACATAAGATCTGGGATGGAGACTGTGTTCTCGTTTACATAAGATCTGGGATGGAGACTGTGGTTTACATAAGATGGAGACTGTGTTCTCGTTTACATAAGATCTGGGATGGAGACTGTGTTCTCGTTTACATAAGATCTGGGATGGAGACTGTGTTCTCGTTTACATAAGATCTGGGATGGAGACTGTGTTCTCGTTTACATAAGATCTGGGATGGAGACTGTGTTCTCGTTTACATAAGATCTGGGATGGAGACTGTGTTCTCGTGTACATAAGATCTGGGATGGAGACTGTGTGTTCTCTGTGTTCTGTTTACATAAGATCTGGGATGGAGTTTACTGTGTTCATAAGATCTGTGATCTGTGTTCTCGTTTACATAAGATCTGGGATGGAGACTGTGTTCTCGTTTACATAAGATCTGGGATGGAGACTGTGTTCTCGTTTACATAAGATCTGGGATGGAGACTGTGTTCTCGTTTACATAAGATCTGGGATGGAGACTGTGTTCTCGTTTACATAAGATCTGGGATGGAGACTGTGTTCTCGTTTACATAAGATCTGGGATTGAGACTGTGTTCTCGTTTACATAAGATCTGGGATGGAGACTGTGTTCTCGTTTACATAAGATCTGGGATGGAGACTGTGTTCTCGTTTACATAAGGTCTGGGATGGAGACTGTGTTCTCGTTTACATAAGATCATAAGACTGTGTTCTCGTTTACATAAGGATGTTTACATAAGAGACTGTGTGTTCTGGGATGGAGACTGTGTTTACATAAGATCTGGGATGGAGACTGTGTTCTCGTTTACATAAGATCTGGGATGGAGACTGTGTTCTCGTTACATATCTGGGATGGAAGTACATAAGATCTGGGATGGAGACTGTGTTCTCGTGTTCTGGGATGGAGACTGTGTTCTCGTTTACATAAGATCTGGGATGGAGACTGTGTTCTCGTTTACATAAGATCTGTCGTTTACATAAGGTCTGGGATGGAGACTGTGTTCTCGTTTACATAAGGTCTGGGATGGAGACTGTGTTCTCGTGTACATAAGGTCTGGGATGGAGACTGTGTTCTCGTGTACATAAGGTCTGGGATGGAGACTGTGTTCTCGTTTACATAAGATCTGGGATGGAGACTGTGTTCTCGTTTACATAAGATCTGGGATGGAGACTGTGTTCTCGTTTACATAAGATCTGGGATGGAGACTGTGTTCTCGTTTACATAAGGTCTGGGATGGAGACTGTAAACTCATAAGGAAGTAATCTAGTACACAGTTTGATAGGGAATAATATAGTTCATGTAGCTTGTTGTAAATCTCTTATTTTCATCATACATGATCACTCCAGTCTACCCCAGTTGTTGCTGTAACTACTGACTTTGTTGTTACAGGTGTTCTGGTCGCCCGTTTATCCCGGTATCATGTTACACGAATGGTTACTGATATCTCGGCGAAACAAAATAACTGAGATTCGGGAGGCACCGCAACAAGTGGCACAGAAAACTAAAGTGTACATCTGTACTACCATGTACCGTGAGGTTAGAGATGTACTTTAAGCAGCAAAATCGTGACGAAGGCCCATCAACACACATGTATAGTGTCATTTAACGACAACCTGTTAGCACACATGTATAGTGTCATTTAACGACAACCCATTAACACACGTGCATACTATCACTTAACGACGACCCATTAACACACATGTATATGGTCACCCATTAACACACATGTATATGGTCACCCATTAACACACATGTGTAGTGTCATTAAAGACGACCCATTAACACACATGTATATGGTCACTTAACGACGACCCATTAACAAACATGTATATGGTCACCCATTAACACACATGTATAGTGTCATTAAAGACGACCCATTAACACACATGTGTAGTGTCATTAAAGACGACCCATTAACACACATGTATATGGTCACTTAACGACGACCCATTAACAAACATGTATATGGTCACCCATTAACACACATGTATAGTGTCATTAAAGACGACCCATTAACACACATGTATAGTGTCACTTAACAACGACCCATTAACATACATGTATAGTGTCACTTAACGACGAACCATTAACATACATGTATAGTGTCATTTAACGACGACCCATGAACACACATGTATATGGTCACTTAACAACGACCCATTAACACACATGCATAGTGTCATTTAACGACGACCCATTAACACACATGTATAGTGTCATTTAACGACGACCCATGAACACACATGTATATGGTCACTTAACGACGACCCATTAACACACATGCATAGTGTCATTTAACGACGACCCATTAACACACATGCATAGTGTCATTTAACGACGACCCATTAACACACATGTATAGTGTTATTTAACGACGACCCATGAACACACATGTATATGGTCACCCATTAACACACATGCATAGTGTCATTTAACGACGACCCATTAACACACATGTATAGTGTTATTTAACGACGACCCATGAACACACATGTATATGGTCACCCATTAACACACATGTATATGGTCACCCATTAACACACATGTATATGGTCACCCATTAACACACATGTATATGGTCACCCATTAACACACATGCATAGTGTCATTTAACGACGACCCATTAACACACATGTATAGTGTTATTTAACGACGACCCATTAACACACATGTATATGGTCACCCATTAACACACATGTATATGGTCACACATTAACACACATGTATATGGTCACACATTAACACACATGTATATGGTCACCCATTAACACACATGTATATGGTCACCCATTAACACACATGTATATGGTCACCCATTAACACACATGTATATGGTCACCCATTAACACACATGTATATGGTCACACATTAACACACATGTATATGGTCACCCATCAACACACATGTATATGGTCACTTAACGACGACCCATCAACACACATGTATATGGTCACCCATTAACACACATGTAGGTTGTCATTAAACGACCACTTGTTAACTTTTATGCGAGATGAGTAAATTTGTACTATATTTTAGTAAGCCTCCTTGTGTGGAACTGATACAGATTTTATAGTGCTACACTGAACTATACTGTAGAAGGCCTCGAGTAAAACACTTAACCTGCTACAATATATAAAGACAACAGACAAACAAGTTATTACTCTACCACAATGCTGAATACTAAATAGGTTGAAGACATTTTTCATTTAAAGTATCTGGACTCTCTCGGACCCCGGGGCTGAGAGCCCAAAGTGTTACCAAAGTGACGCTGTGTCAAGGGAGACAATAGGAAGTGCTCCCACAGTCAGTGACATCTTGCCACTCACGTAAGGGGACGAAAAGCCTAATCTTACACCCTACCTGCACGCCCATTAACATATACACATTGGGAGGATATCCTTAAACCAAAACAACAAACCTGTGTCGTCTGTCTTATGTTGGAAATGACAAAAAATTCTAGATACAAATGACCATACCGGATATGACGTAACACATTATGTCACGCGTTACATGTGACTAATTAAGATCGCTGCTGCGATAGACCCTTACTGAAAATATATCGATATCAGAATTAGTCCGTGTAATATCTGATTATCTCAGGTGTTTTCGTCGTCTAGTATGATAAAGTTCTACTGCTAATAACCACCAGATCGTTTTTTGTTTATCAAAGGCAGTACAAAAGTTTTAAGTAATCACTTAATGATATCAGTAATTAAAAGTGAAAACTCTTTCTTTATTACAGGTCGCCGACCAAAAAAGGAGTTGGCGATTTGTTCAGTTTACGTAGACGCTCGCTCAAAATATTCGTTTAAATCAGATCAATATTTTTCTCTGGTGGCCTGCCAGTCCCGATTTTTTTAAATAGCTCATTATCATTCCTATGTATAGAGATAGTACAGGCTGATACATTACCATAAAACATCGACTGAAGAGAAAAGTTTTCTACACATATCACATAATCAAAATCGCACTAAAATATCTCAGGATTTCTTTACGTCCCCCAAACCACTTAATTCCTCAACCTCAAAACATTGGCACCAATGCTGATTCAAATTTTACAAAAAATGACGTTACACTGATTCAGTAACGTCACACTGATCCAGTAACGTCACACTGATCCAGTATCGTCACACTGATCCAGTAACGTCACACTGATCCAGTGACGTCACACTGATTCAGTAACGTCACACTGATTCAGTAACGTCACACTGAACAAGTAACGTTATACTGATCCAGTGACGTCACACTGATCTAAGAGTGTTATATTCCAATGAGACGAATAAACACACTGAAAAAAGGATATTTACGGTGATCAGGCGGATGTAAATTTCACTCATGTATCGGTATTACTATATTGCAATAAATTGAAATTATTTAAAATATGCCTGCGATGACTTACACATATTCCCACATTAGATTGCTTTTTACATCAAAGTTTTCAGAAAGAAATTCGTTTGTCTTGCCTAATTTCTGTCTTGGTGTTTTTTATTCTAGACAAGAGATGAAATGGGGCAACTGCTAAAGTCAATATGTCGTATAAAGGACGCACAGGCGCACTCCGACAAGTATTTTGAATCGCACGTGTTTTTTGACGGAGGAGTCAAAGAGAAAACGCCAACTGACTTCGCTCTACAGCTTATAAGTCTTCTTCCGGAAACTCTAGGTAAATATACTGCCCAGCTGAAAAGTCTTCTACCGGAAACTCTAGGTAAATATACCGCCTAGCTGAAAAGTCTTCTACCGGAAACTCTAGGTAGTTATACCGCCCAGCTTATAAGTCTTCTACCGGAAACTCTAGGTAAATATACCGCCCAGCTTATAAGTCTTCTACCGGAAACTCTAGGTAGTTATACCGCCCAGCTGAAAAGTCTTCTACCGGAAACTCTAGGTAAATATACCGCCCAGCTTATAAGTCTTCTACCGGAAACTCTAGGTAAATATACCGCCCAGCTGAAAAGTCTTCTACCGGAAACTCTAGGTAAATATACCGCCCAGCTGAAAAGTCTTCTACCGGAAACTCTAGGTAGTTATACCGCCCAGCTTATAAGTCTTCTACCGGAAACTCTAGGTAAATATCGCCCTTGTGGTAAGTCTTCTACCGAAAACTCTAGATAAATATCGCCCTTGTGGTAAGTCTTCTACCGAAAACTCTAGATAAATATACCATCCAGGTGGTTAGTCTACCGCCAAGCTGAAAAGTCTTATACCGGAAACTCTAGGTTAATATACCGCAAAGATGAGTAAATATATCGCCTATGCATTTAGCTATGTCAACAACGATATGACACCATGTCAACAACGATATGGTGGTCAACAACGATATGGTACTATGTCAACAACGATATGGTACTATGTCAACAACGATATGACACCATGTCAACAACGATATGGTACAATGTCAACAACGATATGGTACTATGTCAACAACGATATGGTACTATGTCAACAACGATATGACACCATGTCAACAACGATATGGTACTATGTCAACAACGATATGGTACTATGTCAACAACGATATGGTACCATGTCAACAACGATATGGTACTATGTCAACAACGATATGGTACAATGTCAACAACGATATGACACCATGTCAACAACGATATGGTACTATGTCAACAACGATATGACAGCATGTCAACAACGATATGGTACTGTGTCAACAACGATATGGTACAATGTCAACAACGATATGGTACTATGTCAACAACGATATGGTACTATGTCAACAACGATATGACACCATGTCAACAACGATATGGTACTATGTCAACAACGATATGGTACTATGTCAACAACGATATGGTACCATGTCAACAACGATATGGTACTATGTCAACAACGATATGACACCATGTCAACAACGATATGGTACTATGTCAACAACGATATGGTACTATGTCAACAACGATATGGTACTATGTCAACAACGATATGGTACTATGTCAACAACGATATGGTACCATGTCAACAACGATATGGTACTATGTCAACAACGATATGGTACCATGTCAACAACGATATGGTACTATGTCAACAACGATATGGTACTATGTCAACAACGATATGGTACAATGTCAACAACGATATGACACCATGTCAACAACGATATGGTACTATGTCAACAACGATATGGTACTATGTCAACAACGATATGGTACTATGTCAACAACGATATGGTACCATGTCGTAGTGTCGAGGTTCTGATTGTTTTATCTACACATCGGAATTGTCTAATTCTTACAGGTGTTGACATAACTATGGTTACAAGAACCATGACTCTAGGTTAATATACCGCAAAGATGAGTAAATATATCGCCTATGCATTTAGCTATGTCAACAACGATATGACACCATGTCAACAACGATATGGTGCTATGTCAAAAACGATATGGTACTATGTCAACAACGATATGACAGCATGTCAACAACGATATGGTACTGTGTCAACAACGATATGGTACAATGTCAACAACGATATGGTACTATGTCAACAACGATATGGTACTATGTCAACAACGATATGACACCATGTCAACAACGATATGGTACTATGTCAACAACGATATGGTACTATGTCAACAACGATATGGTACCATGTCAACAACGATATGGTACTATGTCAACAACGATATGGTACCATGTCAACAACGATATGGTACTATGTCAACAACGATATGGTACCATGTCAACAACGATATGGTACCATGTCAACAACGATATGGTACTATGTCAACAACGATATGGTACTATGTCAACAACGATATGGTACTATGTCAACAACGATATGGTACAATATGGTACTATGTCAACAACGATATGGTACTATGTCAACAACGATATGGTACCATGTCGTAGTGTTGAGGTTCTGATTGTTTTATCTACACATCGGAATTGTCTAATTCTTACAGGTGTTGACATAACTATGGTTACAAGAACCATGACAACATACGGCATGAAGTTGTCATGGCAACTGTTAGCAACAGGGGAAAGACGCCAAGCACGTGGTATGACATTCTCAATTCACCTGAAAGACAACAGAAAGGTAGGCATTTTCCTTCGTTTGAGAGAGGGCGAATTCAAGAAAGATAGAGGGACGAGGCCAAAAGGAATAGAAGGGCGTGGCCAAGAGGGATATAAAAGTCTAGACCAAGAGGGAGAGAGGGGGCGAGGGCAAGAAGGATAGAAAGGGTTAGGCCAATGGGATATAGGGTCCAAGACCAAATATGGGGTATAGAGTGGGCTTGGCCAAAAGGGATAGAGGGTTATCGCGAGATAGAAAGGATGTGGCCAAGCTTATAAGATTACGAATCGTTTTAGTATTAATACATGGATCGGAAGGGAGTATGAAACAAGGGGAAAGAGATATGTAGTTGAAGACAAATTGCCAATGAAAGACAAGATATATTTTCCTCGCATTAAGTATATAAAAATAATATGCCTCCCTTCGTGTTATTTTGCAGTTGATACAAACGTTATTCGTACGTAATAAATTTAACATTATTGTTAAAACATAGGACCCACGCGTTTTATATTCTGCATCATAGAAGCATATAAAGCTATTTCTAATACCATTCAACATGTTTTTTTCGCTGATATTCTGACTAGGACCGCTTTCATTCTGTTTGTGTACGCTGTCACTACCAGCTCGGCAAATATTATAATACACTTTGAACTTACACAATATGCTCCATATCATGGTTTATAAGGTAGGGTTAAGGTTGATATATTTATGTCTTCAACTTCTCTCTATCTTTCTGTTATCAATTCCTCCTTGACACGTGAACTCAGGGTTAGCTGTGTGATTCATGTTTACCCGTGACTTGTGTGTATGATTGACAGATATCTGGTAGTAACACGAATCATCGTAACCTTGACAGTGCCCACACTTTTAAATTGTTAATCTTAGGTTGATTAAATGAAAACTAATTCTACACCAGATGATTATAGTAAAACCTGTAGCACAACGGGATGGATTTACAGTCATACATGTGAAATTAGCTTTTGTATGGTATGTAAATATTGGTATGTAAATATCGTTATGAAGACAGACTTAGCTATGGTATGTAAATATTGGTATGAAGACAGACTTAGTTATGGTATGTAAATATTGGTATGAAGACAGACTCAGCTATGGTATGTAAATATTGGTATGTAGCCAGACTCAGCTATGGTATGTAAATATTGGTATGAAGACAGACTTAGTTATGGTATGTAAATATCGGTATGAAGACAGACTTAGTTATGGTATGTAAATATTGGTATGAAGACAGACTTAGTTATGGTATGTAAATATCGGTATGAAGACAGACTTAGTTATGGTATGTAAATATCGGTATGAAGACAGACTTAGTTATGGTATGTAAATATTGGTATGAAGACAGACTTAGCTATGGTATGTAAATATCGTTATGAAGACAGACTTAGCTATGGTATGTAAATATTGGTATGAAGACAGACTTAGTTATGGTATGTAAATATTGGTATGAAGACAGACTTAGTTATGGTATGTAAATATGTAAATATTGGTATGAAGACAGACTTAGCTATGGTATGTAAATATCGGTATGAAGACAGACTTAGTTATGGTATGTAAATATCGTTATGAAGACAGACTTAGCTATGGTATGTAAATATTGGTATGAAGACAGACTTAGTTATGGTATGTAAATATTGGTATGAAGACAGACATAGCTATGGTATGTAAATATTGGTATGAAGACAGACTTAGCTATGGTATGTAAATATTGGTATGTAAAGATTGGTATGAAGACAGACTTAGCTATGGTATGTAAATATTGGTATGTAGCCAGACTCAGTTATGGTATGTAAAGATTGGTATGTAGCCAGACTCAGCTATGGTATGTAAATATTGGTATGTAGCCAGACTAAGCTATGGTATGTAAAGATTGGTATGTAGCCAGACTCAGTTATGGTATGTAAATATTGGTATGTAGCCAGACTCAGCTATGGGATGTAAATATTGGTATGTAGCCAGACTCAGATATGGTATGTAAATGTCGGTAGGTAGACAGACTTAGCTATGGTATGTAAATATCGGTATGTAGCCAGACTCAGCTATGGTATGTAAATATTGGTATGTAGCCAGACTCAGCTATGGTATGTTAATATCGGCATGTAGCCAAACTCAGCTATGGTATGTAGATATTGGTATGTAGCCAGACTCAGCTATGGTATGTAAATATTGGTATGTAGCCAGACTCAGCTATGGCATGTAAATATTGGTATGTAGCCAGACTCAGTTATGGTATGTAAATGTCGGTAGGTAGACAGACTTAGCTATGGTATGTAAATATCGGTATGTAGCCAGACTCAGCTATGGTATGTAAATATTGGTATGTAGCCAGACTCAGCTATGGTATGTAGATATTGGTATGTAGCCAGACTCAGCTATGGTATGTAAATATTGGTATGTAGCCAGACTCAGTTATGGTATGTAAATATTGGTATGTAGCCAGACTCAGCTATGGTATGTAAATATTGGTAACTAAACACAACACTATATACAATGACAATATACAACAACTCGGAGTAAAAATGTTCCAGACAATCACAAATCACACAAAAGCACCAGCCGATGACTCCAGTACACTCTGCCTATACTACATTTCTCCCTCAAGTTGTCACTTCATTTTCATATACAAACATATTCAAACATTCAGACGATAATGTTCCATACAAATTAGGATTAAGTTATATGACAACAAAAAACGTCTGATTTACAACTACTGACAAACTGCTCTGCTGTGTCTTCTTGACAGATAGATAGTATCCTTCATGCAAATGTTATTTAAGTGTGATGTATAATGTTTTTCATCTTTTGTATCTTCTTCTTGAAAATGTTTTATTCGGTTTAAATCAAATTTCATGCATTAAAGCAGAACTATTGATAACGCGAACATTGTTGTTGCCATTGAAGATGCTGTTTTCTGTGTAGGTGAACAACATGCTATTTTCTGTGTAGGTGAACAACATGCTATTTTCTGTGTAGGTGAACAACATGCTATTTTCTGTGTAGGTGAACAACATGCTGTTTTCTGTGTAGGTGAAGAACATGCTATTTTCTGTGTAGGTGAACAACATGCTGTTTTCTGTGTAGGTGAACAACATGCTATTTTCTGTGTAGGTGAAGAACATGCTATTTTCTGTGTAGGTGAAGAACATGCTGTTTTCTGTGTAGGTGAACAACATGCTATTTTCTGTGTAGGTGAACAACATGCTATTTTCTGTGTAGGTGAACAACATGCTGTTTTCTGTGTAGGTGAACAACATGCTATTTTCTGTGTAGGTGAAGAACATGCTATTTTCTGTGTAGGTGAACAACATGCTGTTTTCTGTGTAGGTGAACAACATGCTATTTTCTGTGTAGGTGAAGAACATGCTATTTTCTGTGTAGGTGAACAACATGCTGTTTTCTGTGTAGGTGAACAACATGCTATTTGCTGTGTAGGTGAAGAACATGCTGTTTTCTGTGTAGGTGAAGAACATGCTATTTTCTGTGTAGGTGAACAACATGCTATTTTCTGTGTAGGTGAACTACATGTTATTTTATGTGTAGGTGAACAACATGCTATTTTCTGTGTAGGTGAAGAACATGCTATTTTATGTGTAGGTGAACAACATGCTATTTTCTGTGTAGGTGAACAACATGCTGTTTTCTGTGTAGGTGAACAACATGCTGTTTTCTGTGTAGGTGAAGAACATGCTATTTTCTGTGTAGGTGAAGAACATGCTATTTTCTGTGTAGGTGAAGAACATGCTATTTTCTGTGTAGGTGAACAACATGATTATTTTCTGTGTAGGTGAACAACATGCTATTTTTATGTGTAGGTGAAGAACATGTTATTTTCTGTGTAGGTGAAGAACATGCTATTTTCTGTGTAGGTGAAGAACATGCTATTTTCTGTGTAGGTGAAGAACAAGAAGAGATGGAGTCAGATTATGTACATGTCTTATGTTCTCGACTTCCTTGTCAGACAGTATATCGGCCCTTCAGGAAACCCGGAAGGTGAGTCAATGCCTTTGGATGTAACCTAGGTGAGTCACTAATGTCTGATACTCCTACGTCACTACTGTCAGGACCTCGGTGTGTAACCCGGAGGGTAAATTACTATTGTCGGAATTCGATGTTACACCCAGATGGTGAGTCACTTCTATCAGGAATTCAAGTCACAATCTCGAAAGAAATGAGTCTTTACAGTCAAATTATCGTCAAGAATAAGCCATTAAGGTCACATTCTCGTCAGGAATAAGTCTTTACAGTCAAATTATCGTCAGGAATAGGTCTTTACAGTCAAATTATCGTCAGGAATAAGCCATGAAGGTCAAATTATCGTCAGGAATAAGTCTTTACAGTCAAATTCTCGTCAGGAATATGTCTTTACAGTCAAATTATCGTCAGGAATAGGTCTTTACAGTCAACGTATCGTCAGGAATAAGCCATGAAGGTCAAATTATCGTCAGGAATAAGCCATTAAGGTCAAATTCTCGTCAGGAATATGTCTTTACAGTCAAATTATCGTCAGGAATAGGTCTTTACAGTCAAATTATCGTCAGGAATAAGTCTTTACAGTCAAATTCTCGTCAGGAATAAGTCTTTACAGTCAAATTATCGTCAGGAATAAGTCTTTACAGTCAAATTATCGTCAGGAATAAGTCTTTACAGTCAAATTCTCGTCAGGAATAAGCCATGAAGGTCAAATTATCGTCAGGAATAAGCCATGAAGGTCAAATTCTCGTCAGGAATAAGTCTTTACAGTCAAATTATCGTCAGGAATAAGTCTTTACAGTCAAATTCTCGTCAGGAATAAGCCATGAAGGTCAAATTATCGTCAGGAATAAGCCATGAAGGTCAAATTCTCGTCAGGAATATGTCTTTACAGTCAAATTATCGTCAGGAATAAGTCTTTACAGTCAAATTCTCGTCAGGAATAAGTCTTTACAGTCAAATTCTCGTCAGGAATATGTCTTTACAGTCAAATTATCGTCAGGAATAAGCCATGAAGGTCAAATTATCGTCAGGAATAAGCCATGAAGGTCAAATTATCGTCAGGAATATGTCTTTACAGTCAAATTATCGTCAGGAATATGTCTTTACAGTCAAATTCTCGTCAGGAATAGGTCTTTACAGTCAAATTATCGTCAGGAATAGGTCTTTACAGTCAAATTCTCGTCAGGAATATGTCTTTACAGTCAAATTATCGTCAGGAATAGGTCTTTACAGTCAAAGTATCGTCAGGAATAAGCCATTAAGGTCAAATTCTCGTCAGGAATAAGCCATGAAGGTCAAATTATCGTCAGGAATAAGTCTTTACAGTCAAATTCTCGTCAGGAATATGTCTTTACAGTCAAATTATCGTCAGGAATAGGTCTTTACAGTCAAATTATCGTCAGGAATAAGCCATGAAGGTCAAATTCTCGTCAGGAATAAGCCATGAAGGTCAAATTATCGTCAGGAATAAGTCTTTACAGTCAAATTATCGTCAGGAATAAGCCATGAAGGTCAAATTCTCGTCAGGAATATGTCTTTACAGTCAAATTATCGTCAGGAATAAGCCATTAAGGTCAAATTCTCGTCAGGAATAGGTCTTTACAGTCAAATCATCGTCAGGAATAAGCCATTAAGGTCAATTTCTCGTCAGGAATATGTCATTTCCCTCACATTCTCGTCAGGAATATGTCATTTCTGTACATTCTCATAAGGAATAAGTCATTCCGTCACATTCTCGCACGGAATAAGTCATTACTGTCGCAATGTCGTCAGAAATAAGTCAAATTGTTCTCAACCATTACCAATGAGATAGATCTGACAAAGTATTTGTACAAAAGATGCACAGAACATATTATAATTAAATAACGTCCTCACACCACTATTTGGTAAATCTAGGACCTTTTTTCTGATGCCTAAAGTGCTTAAATCTAGCCGGTGAATGATCTACACTAACCTAATAGATAAATGTGGAGTGGCACTTTTTCTATGCTTCAACGATTTTCGTTGTTTCCAGGATTGTAATGAACAGAATAGCTTCTTTTCAATACAAGTTTTGAATTAGATACAGGAGAGTCAAATACACGAATTGAATTTAAATGCATCGTACAGATATTCTATCCTTCTGGATCTCGTTAATGAGTCTTAATGGTCGGAGGTGTTGAAATCAAGGAGGCGACATAGAAGATTCAATATTGGACACGAGGGTTGAAATATAGTGTAGAGGTTTCATTTACAACAGATAATGATGACGTCACGGAAATAACCAGTTTATTGCTGACGAAATTGAATATCCTGTGAACATCGACGTATCACACGTGTATTAGACTCGGGCCACCAAACAAGTCATGCAGGATAGGCAGAGGGGCGGAACAGATAAAATAGATCATAGAAAAATTAGGATATCAAACTAATCTCCCTTTTGTGTGAGAAACTTTCATTCAAATTTCTTTCCAGATAATATGTAGTTATGTGTCTGCTGTTTCTATACTACAGTTGACGATAGCCACGCCTTCATCCTCACAACCGATGCTGATGTTAATTTTACACCAGATTCTGTGGAGGCATTGCTTGATCTCATGACACGTGACCAATCAGTAGGAGCTGTGTGCGCACGCACACATCCAATCGGATTTGGTCCTCTGGTGTGGTACCAGAAATTCGAATACGCGATTGGTCACTGGTTCCAGAAGGTGAGATGTCTGAATAGACACCAGGAATAACTCCCGTGTATTATTTTGTATGTCTGAATAGACACCAGGAATAACTCCCGTGTATTGTTTTGTATGTCTGAATAGACACCAGGAAGAACTCCCGTATATGAAATTTAAGATTAATCTCAGGTTTCATAAAATGTCTTCAACATTGTACTTTTTAAAATAATCATGATAATATGTGGAAGTACTTATTAAGACAAGATAACACGCTATTATATCTGATATTAAATCATCGCTTCTGGTAAATAACTGAAGAACATATTTCAGGCTGCCGAAGACGTCTTGGGTTCGGTTCTTTGTGCCCCTGGGTGTTTCAGTGTGTACCGGGTGAGTGCCGTTCGAGATATCGTGTCCACTTACGCCTCCAATGTCGAGAAGGCATTCGAATTTCTCACCAAAGACATGGGCGAGGATCGCTGGTTCTGTACGCTACTGGTAAGTATTCCTCGACTGTCGGTCTAAGGTCAAGGGTCATTAGGTCAAAAGCCATAATGAAAAACGTGAAAATAATGTAGCGATTAGGAAGGGTAAAAAATAAGTTTATATATACCGGGTACAGAGAGATAACGAATGTCTCTGATTTACTGCTGATAGCGAGGGTAAAAAATAAGTTTATATATACTGATGATAGCGAGGGTAAAAATAAGTTTATATATACTGCTGATAGCGAGGGTAAAAATAAGTTTATATATACTGATGATAGCGAGGGTAAAAATAAGTTTATATATACTGCTGATAGCGAGGGTAAAAATAAGTTTATATATACTGCTGATAGCGAGGGTAAAAATAAGTTTATATATACTGCTGATAGCGAGGGTAAAAATAAGTTTATATATACTGCTGATAGCGAGGGTAAAAATAAGTGTATATATACTGCTGATAGCGAGGGTAAAAATAAGTGTATATATACTGCTGATAGCGAGGGTAAAAATAAGTGTATATATACTGCTGATAGCGAGGGTGAAAATAAGTGTATATATACTGCTGATAGCGAGGGTAAAAATAAGTTTATATATACTGCTGATAGCGAGGGAGGGTAAAAATAAGTTTATATATACTGCTTTATATATACTGCTGATAGCGAGGGTAAAAAATAAGTTTATATATACTGCTGATAGCGAGGGTAAAAATAAGTTTATATATACTGCTGATAGCGAGGGTAAACAATAAGTTTATATATACTGCTGATAGCGAGGGTAAAAATAAGTATATATATACCGGGTACAGATAGATAACGCATGTCTCTGATTTACTGCTGATAGCGAGGGTAAAAAATAAGTTTATATAACCGGGCACAGATAGATAAATACGAATGTAAACGACGTACGAGTAACTGTTGAAGAGAACCAACTGCTTCCGCCATGTTACCACTCTTACGTTTCTTTAATAGGTTCAAAGTGGCTGGAGAATAGAGTATTGTGCCGCTTCTGAGAATAAGACCCAATGTCCGGAGGAATTTGAGGAGTTCTACAAACAAAGGAGACGTTGGATTGCATCAACGATCGCCAACCTGATTCTCCTCGTCCGGGAGTGGAAGATCATCAGTAAGTTTAACCAACGGGTGTCCATCTTCTTCACCATATACCAAGGCCTGCTTCTCTTCTCTACGCTGATTGGACCAAGTGTCGTTATCTTGATTGTCTCAGGTAATTTGATTGGTTGATATTTATTAATCTTGAATATGTTGTGCCTGTATAGCAGGAAATCTTTACGACCTTTCACAACAGACAACGACACTTTACATGTATCTAACTATATGTACATCCGTTTCAAAACTCGTAATTCTAGATAACAGAAATGTTAAAATTCGATTTTAAAGCACACTTCGACAATCGACAATCAGACAAACATTATCAATATATGAGATTTGTTGGAGTCTGGCGATGCTCTGCAGTGGTTTGACGACAACATAATTCCTGACTAGTATTATCAGACATATTTCAAGGATTGCTGAGGTGCTATGCTTATTTTGAAGAATCATGATATTACGAGATAGAATTATGACCAATACTAAGGATATTCTGATAACCTCTGGTGTTTTCACAGGAGGCCTTGTTTATGCTTGGGCTGTAAGCAGCGTGACTACCATCATACTTCAATGTATAACCTGTGTGGGCTTCACAATCATCTGTCTCTACTTCTCACAAACCACACAGATGAAGGTAAGCCTGGTCTGTCTCTGCTTCTCACAAACCACACAGATGAAGGTAAGCCTGGTCTGTCTCTACTTCTCACAAACGACACAGATGAAGGTAAGCCTGGTCTGTCTCTGCTTCTCACAAACCACACAGATGAAGGTAAGTTTGGTCTGTCTCTGCTTCTCACAAACGACACAGATGTAAGGTACAGTTTGGTAAGCCTGTCTCTACTTCTCACAAACGACACAGATGAAGGTAAGCCTGGTCTGTCTCTACTTCTCACAAACCACACAGATGTAGGTAAGTTTGGTCTGTCTCTACTTCTCACAAACCACACAGATGAAGGTAAGCCTGGTCTGTCTCTGCTTCTCACAAACCACACAGATGTAGGTAAGTTTGGTCTGTCTCTACTTCTCACAAACCACACAGATGAAGGTAAGCCTGGTCTGTCTCTACTTCTCACAAACCACACAGATGAAGGTAAGCCTGGTCTGTCTCTGCTTCTCACAAACCACACTGATGAAGGTAAGCCTGGTCTGTCTCTACTTCTCACAAACCACACAGATGAAGGTAAGCCTGGTCTGTCTCTACTTCTCACAAACGACACTGATGAAGGTAAGCCTGGTCTGTCTCTACTTCTCACAAACCACACAGATGAAGGTAAGCCTGGTCTGTCTCTACTTCTCACAAACCACACAGATGAAAGTAAGCCTGGTCTGTCTCTACTTCTCACAAACCTCACAGATGAAGGTGAGTCTGGTCTGCCTCTACTTCTCACAAACCACACAGATGTAGGTAAGTTTGGTCTGTCTCTACTTCTCACAAACCACACAGATGAAAGTAAGCCTGGTCTGTCTCTACTTCTCACAAACCTCACAGATGAAGGTGAGTCTGGTCTGCCTCTACTTCTCACAAACCTAATTCTGTCAACCGAGAAAATATAGCTTAGGCCCTTGAACTATTATACAGGAGTTCGTCTCATGTGCTTTTCTCCTGCCTTGAACTGAGAATTATATAGAAAGGCGATAGAAGTGTTTTAAAATCGCTCCAAATTCCTTGTTCATGGACGAAAAGGACGAAAGAAAACAAGAACGAAAAGAAACCAAGGACGAAAAGAAAACAAGGACGAAAAATTCACTGTATACAGTAATAACATTCAATGATAAAATCGTATGACAATCGATGTTTCAGTGGGATTATTTTAGAAACAACAAAATACTAATTTGATCAAAAAATTCTGTTTGTTTTCTGGTCAGAACATAATGTGGCTAGGTTGCCCGAACACCAGTGATTTATACACAATAACCATTGATATGACAGTGAAAAGGTTCGTGTGCACTTTTCCAATGTGGAACAATTTTCTAGGTGGCCAAGTTACTGACTTTCCTGTACGCATGCGTCATGATGGCTGTGACTGTCGGAACTGCCCAACAGGTGGTGCAGGATCTCGCGTTCGGTGATGACAGCAAACCCATCACGGCAGATAACAACACCGGTGGAGTGGAGGTCATTACAAAGAGTCCATCAGGTATTTAAAGTTCCAACACCATATTACATATTCTGAAATTGTATGTTCCTGATGTTTAAATTTGTGATCTCGAGTGTATTTAGAAATATTCAATATGACTGTGTATTTTCATGGTATCACAATATCGATAAGCCTTCAGTATGAAGTGTACAACATAAAGTTAGCCGCTTTATCTTATTCCGTCCTCTCCTTCTCGTGCAGCAAAGTCAATTGCGAATAAATAAAAGATGTTCCTCGCGACAAAGGTTAGAAGGTATAAAAACTTGAGATACAAAGTCGATATTAATCGCGTTGCTTTAAGTGACGACAAGTTGTCCTGCATGTTTCCAGATGTCAGCATGGGATTTCCGGTGTCCTTGACCACTCTGTACTTGGGAAGTCTGATTGGAATATTTCTAACCGCTGGTCTTCTTCATCCTCGAGAGTTTACGTGCCTTGTGCATGGCTTATGGTACCTGATATGCTTACCTTCGGGATACCTCATCCTCAATATATACAGCGTGTGTAACATCACGGATAGATCATGGGGTGAGTTTTACTTGAAAATTCCATTGTCTATATGTGTACAATTAGATAGCGTCTTTCATGAGGGATATCTGTGATGGTACTCGGCTCTTACACACGGGAGTAGCTTATGTTTACTAGGTGTATTAATACCATTGATTCCATTGTGACCTCTGTATTTCGACACTTACGTGAAATTTGCAATTTTGTTGATAAACGATCTCTGACTGAATCGCGTTATCAAATGTAAACAAATACAGGTTTGACACCGTAGTTACTGATGTCACGTCGGGTCGGGTCGGTTTAGGTTAGGTAAGGTAAGGGTAGCTCAGGCCAGGTCAAGATAGGTCAGGTAAGGGTTAGTTGGGTTAGGTAAGGTCAGGTAAGGGTTAGTTTGGTTAAGTAATGTCAGGTAAGGGTTAGGTGTGTTATGTAAAGTCAGGTAAGTGTTAGTTTGGTTAGGTAAGGTCAGGTAAGGGTTAGTTTGGTTAGATAAGGTCAGGTAAGGGTTAGTTTTGTTAGATTAGGTCAGGTAAGGGTTAGTTGTGTTGGGTAAAGTCAGGTAAGGGTTAGTTGTGTTGGGTAAAGTCAGGTAAGGGTTAGTTTTGTTAGGTAAAGTCAGGTAAGGGTTAGTTTTGTTAGGTAAAGTCAGGTAAGGGTTAGTTTGGTTAGGTAAAGTCAGGTTAAGTAAGATGGGTTAGGTAATTTGATGTTAGGGCTAGTTGGGTTCGATAAGGTTAGGTAAATATTAGTTGGGTAAATTAAGGTAAATTTAGAGCTAGTTGGGTTAGGTAAAATAATGTTAGGGTGAGTTGGTTTAGGTAAAATAAGGTTAAGGTAAGTTGGGTTAGGTAAAATAATGTTAGGGTTAGTTAGGTAAAATAAGGTAAGGTAAAATAAGGTTAGGGTTAGTTAGGTAAAATAAAGGGTAGTTAGGTAAAATAAGGTTAGGGTTAGTTAGGTAAAATAAGGTTAGGGTTAGTTAGGTAAAATAAGGTTAGGTAAGGTAAAATAAGGTTAGGTAAGGTAAAATAAGGTTAGGGTTAGTTAGGTAAAATAAGGTTAAGGTAAGTTGGGTTAGGTAAAATAAGGTTAGGGTTAGTTAGGTAAAATAAGGTTAGGGTTAGTTAGGTAAGGTAAAATAAGGTTAGGGTTAGTTAGGTAAGGTAAAATAAGGTAAGGGTTAGTTAGGTAAGGTAAAATAAGGTTAGGGTTAGTTAGGTAAAATAAGGTTAGGGTTAGTTAGGTAAAATAAGGTTAGGGTTAGTTAGATAAGGTAAAATAAGGTTAGGGTTAGTTGGGTTAGGTAAAATAAGGTTAGGGTTAGTTAGGTAAAATAAGGTTAGGGTTAGTTAGGTAAGGTAAAATAAGGTTAGGGTTAGTTAGGTAAAATAAGGTTAGGGTTAGTTAGGTAAGGTAAAATAAGGTTAGGGTTAGTTAGGTAAGGTAAAATAAGGTTAGGGTTAGTTAGGTAAGGTAAAATAAGGTTAGGGTTAGTTAGGTAAGGTAAAATAAGGTTAGGGTTAGTTAGGTTTGGATAGGGTAATTGCTATCAGGGTTACATGTATATTGTGCCGATTTGTTTCAGGTACTCGAGAAGAGAAAACAAAGTCGGTAGTGAAAGATACGCGGACGTGGTACGAAATTGTAGGGGACACCTCTCGAAAATTATTCGGGTAAGTATTTTCTTATATATGTTATTGCTTGGGAATACAGTACATATTTGAAGTTGGTGGTCCGGGGATCGGTTCACGAAGAGAACGTGTACAGGTAGGGAATAACTTCTCCTGCTACGTAGGTTTTTTCGGGAGATTTCGGTTTCCTCCCATCCGCTTCCATCAGGACCAACAAGAGAGATTAATGTAAGCCGATAGCGTCAGATATCATATCTATTTATAGAAACATTGGCAAAATCGCAAAGGTCATGTGTAATTGTAAACGATTAAGGCTGAAATTGTTGTTACTCCCGATTTTTCTTTTCTAAGATTGAACGACAAGAGTGGAAGTGTACGTAAGGTTTTACAATTTGTCCTGTTTATCTTTGATCTGAAGTTACATTTGTGTACACGTGGAAATATCAACCTACAGTTCGGAGCTCAAGTCACATTCGGAGCTGGTTAACTGAGGGTATCATCAGAAGACACCATGTGTCTACTGGTGGGGTGTGTCACCATATGTATACAGGTGAGGTGTGACACCATGTGTCAACTTGTGACATGTGACACCATATGTATACTGGTGAGGTGTGACACCATGTGTCTACTTGTGAGGTGTGACACCATATGTATACTGGTGAGGTGTGTTACCATGTGTCTGCTGGTGGGGTGTGACACCATGTGTCTACTGGTGGGGTGTGACACCATATGTACACTGGTTAGGTGTGACTATGTGTCTTCTGGTGGGGTGTGACACCATATGTCTACAGGTGGGGTGTGACACCATGTGTCTACTGGTGGGGTGCGACACCGTGTGCCTACTGGTGAGGAGTGACACCATGTGTCTACTTGTGAGGTGTGACACCATATGTATACTGGTGACGTGTGTCACCATGTGTCTTCTGGTGGGGTGTGACACCATGTGTCTACTTGTGAGGTGTGACACCATATGTATACTGGTGAGGAGTGACACCATGTGTCTACTTGGAGGGGGCTACTGGTATGAATGTACCAAGCTGCTGAAAATAAAATCTATAGAGAAAAAAATCCTTTCATAACTTTAGGGAAATTTTTTATCTTCTTCGGGGTTTTGTTAAATAGCTAGCCTTTATAGTATAAAGCCCGCTTGAAGAAATACACTTAATGTATTATTTCAGTTGTTGTCAGAGAGAAGAAAGACCTGCGCCCAGTGAACAAGCTGTCGTGGTTCGAGCTCGGCACTCTTCTGTAACAGAACCCCACCACAAGACAAGCGAGAGTCATCTTTCTAAACCATTTACAGAAGAAAAGGACCGAGAACCTGAAGGTAGGGAATGATATTCGTTTTATGTTGAGGATGTGTTAACATGGTATGGCTTGTTTTTATTAGGAAGGACTTCACTAATCCCGACATTGCAGGGGCGTGTGGGATTTGTGATTGACTAATGTTTGTGTAAGACTGTTGGTATGATTGGGAGAAACAGGTCTGATTGATTATCGATAATTTAGAGAAGCGTGTGAGATTTGTGATTGACTAAGCACCAGGAAATCTGGACTCTTGTCGTCAATTTGTTGCATTACCGTAAAAGCGTAGTATATTGTTTTATCTAAAGCATCTTATTGATGACGTCAGTATTTAATGTGTAAATTATTTTATATAAAAAGCACCCTTTTGATGACGTCATTATTTATTGTGTTAATTGTTTAATGAAAATGCACCATATTGATGACGTCAGTACTTATTGTGTAACTTATATCTAAATCTCAATAATTTGTAGTTGACTTACAACGTAGTCTGTCAGTCGACATGCTACAGGACGACGTGGAGGAGAGCTACTTCGAGGATGATATAACACCACAACCAGTGGAAGAATGGCTGGATAAAGATTTCCGGGTGAGATAATAGCTTATAAATATTCCCCATTACTCCACACATTTAGGGAGTGTAACTTTGATGAACGAGATATCCCGCCTGTTTCCTAGCAGTGAGAGTTGAATAACATACCTAAAGTGATTATTGTTTTTGAATTGTTAACGTGATTTCGTCAAATCGATACAATGATGTAGATATCAGATACAATGATGTAAGTATCAGATACAAACAGCCGCAGTAGATACAATTGTGTAGGTATCAGATACAGACAGCCGCAGTAGATACGATGATGTAGGTATCAGATACAATGATGTAGATATCAGATACAATGATGTAGGTGACAGATAGAGACAGCCGCAGTAGATACAATTGTGTAGGTATCAGATACAGACAGCCGCAGTAGATACGATGATGTAGGTATCAGATACAATGATGTAGATATCAGATACAATGATGTAGATATCAGATACAATGATGTAGGTATCAGATAGAGACAGCCGCAGTAGATACAATGATGTAGGTATCAGATACAGACAGCCGCAGTAGATACAATGATGTAGGTATCAGATACAGACAGCCGCAGTAGATACAATGATGTAGGTATCAGATACAGACAGCCGTAGTACAATGAGATACAATGATGTAGGTATCAGATACAGACAGCCGCAGTAGATACAATGATGTAGGTATCAGATACAGACAGCCGCAGTAGATACAATGATGTAGGTATCAGATACAGACAGCCGCAGTAGATACAATGATGTAGGTATCAGATACAGACAGCCGCAGTAGATACAATGATGTAGGTATCAGATAGAGACAGCCGCAGTAGATACAATGATGTAGGTATCAGATACAGACAGCCGCAGTAGATACAATGATGTAGGTATCAGATACAGACAGCCGCAGTAGATACAATGATGTAGGTATCAGATAGAGACAGCCGCAGTAGATACAATGATGTAGGTATCAGATACAGACAGCCGCAGTAGATACAATGATGTAGGTATCAGATACAATGATGTAGGTATCAGATACAATGATGTAGGTATCAGATACAGACAGCCGCAGTAGATACAATGATGTAGGTATCTACAGACAGCCGCAGTAGATACAATGATGTAGGTATCAGATACAGACAGCCGCAGTAGATACAATGATGTAGGTAGATACAATGATATCAGATAGAGACAGCCGCAGTAGATACAATGATGTAGGTATCAGATATAGATACAATGATGTAGGTATCAGATACAGACAGCCGCAGTAGATACAATGATGTAGGTATCAGATACAGACAGCCGCAGTAGATACAATGATGTAGGTATCAGATACAGACAGCCGCAGTAGATACAATGATGTAGGTATCAGATACAGACAGCCGCAGTAGATACAATGATGTAGGTATCAGATACAGACAGCCGCAGAAGATACAAAGATGTAGGTATCAGATACAATGATGTAGTATCAGATACAGACAGCCGCAGTAGATACAATGATGTAGGTATCAGATACAGACAGCCGCAGTAGACACAATGATCTAGGTATCAGATACAGACAGCCGCAGTAGACACAATGATGTAGGTATCAGATACAGACAGCCGCAGTAGATACAATGATGTAGGTATCAGATACAGACAGCCGCAGTAGATACAATGATGTAGGTATCAGATACAGACAGCCGCAGTAGATACAATGATGTAGGTATCAGATACAATGAGACAGCCGCAGTAGATACAATGATGTAGGTATCAGATACAATGATGTATAGATACAATGATGTAGGTATCAGATACAGACAGCCGCAGTAGATACAATGATGTAGGTATACAGTATATCAGACAGCCGCAGTAGATACAATGATGTAGGTATAGATACAATGATGTAGGTATCAGATACAGACAGCCGCAGTAGATACAATGATGTAGGTATCAGATACAGACAGCCGCAGTAGATACAATGATGTAGGTATCAGATACAATGATGTAGGTATCAGATACAATGATGTAGGTATCAGATACAATGATGTAGGTATCAGATACAGACAGCCGCAGTAGATACAATGATGTAGGTATCAGATACAGACAGCCGCAGTAGATACAATGATGTAGGTATCAGATACAGACAGCCGCAGTAGATACAATGATGTAGGTATCAGACAGCCGCAGTAGATACAATGATGTAGGTATCAGATACAGACAGCCGCAGTAGATACAATGATGTAGGTATACAGACAGCCGCAGTAGATACAATGATGTAGGTATCAGATACAATGATGTAGGTATCAGATACAATGATGTAGGTATCAGATACAGACAGCCGCAGTAGATACAATGATGTAGGTATCAGATACAATGATGTAGGTATCAGATACAGACAGCCGCAGTAGATACAATGATGTAGGTATCAGATACAGACAGCCGCAGTAGATACAATGATGTAGGTATCAGATACAATGATGTAGGTATCAGATACAGACAGATACAATGATGTAGGTATCAGATACAGACAGCCGCAGTAGATACAATGATGTAGGTATCAGATACAGACAGCCGCAGTAGATACAATGATGTAGGTATCAGATACAATGATGTAGGTATCAGATACAAACAGCCGCAGTAGATACAATGATGTAGGTATCAGATACAATGATGTAGGTATCAGATACAGACAGCCGCAGTAGATACAATGATGTAGGTATCAGATACAATGATGTAGGTATCAGATACAATGATGTAGGTATCAGATACAATGATGTAGGTATCAGATACAATGATGTAGGTATCAGATACAATGATGTAGGTATCAGATACAATGATGTAGGTATCAGATACAATGATGTAGGTATCAGATACAGACAGCCGCAGTAGATACAATGATGTAGGTATCAGATACAGACAGCCGCAGTAGATACAATGATGTAGGTATCAGATACAAACAGCCGCAGTAGATACAATGATGTAGGTATCAGATACAGACAGCCGCAGTAGATACAATGATGTAGGTATCAGATACAATGATGTAGGTATCAGATACAGACAGCCGCAGTAGATACAATGATGTAGGTATCAGATACAATGATGTAGGTATCAGATACAATGATGTAGGTATCAGATACGATGATGTAGGTATCAGATAGAGACAACCGCAGTAGATACAATGATGTAGGTATCAGATACAATGATGTAGGTATCAGATACAGACAGCCGCAGTAGATAAAGTACTGTTAAGCTGGTCATTTTCACGGGTAAAAATATTCGCTGAATTATATTTTGGCAAATTAAAATTGCGTAATTTGGATTAAAAAGAACAGCTTATACACAGTGGATTAAATTTTCACGAGCACTACAAAAAAATCATCCCACGAAAATAGCCGGTTATACGGTAAAACGTTATTGCTGGTTTTCGTTGCAGCAGGACTACGTACCTTTATTCAAAAAGCATGGTTTTGACAGTACGATTTTCATCAGTGCTATGAAAGAAAAGGATCTGACTTCAATTGGGATAAAAAAGAAGGCTCACGCGACGTACCTCATGGAGCGAATCAAAGTACTTCCAGAATTCCGAATCGAGGTCAAAGTACCGGTAAGTATAAAAATACCTACCGCGCTACTTACAGGAGATCACTGTTCAATTTAATGGACAGAATATGTGTGTAATCTTTGGAATTTTTGAACGATTATTAAAAATCCTGATTTTTCCTTTACTTTATACATTAACATATATAACATGTGTAACCCTGGTAAATACTAGCCACAATATACCACTCCGATAGAGAGAATGTAACCCTGGTTAATACTAGCCACAATATACCACTCCGATAGAGAGAATATTACCCTGGTAAATACTAGCCACAATGTACCACTCCGATAGAGAATGTAACCCTGGTAAATACTAGCCACAATATACCACTCAGCTAGAGAGAATGTAACCCTGGTAAATACTAGCCACAATATACCACTCAGATAGAGAGAATGTAACCCTTGTAAATACTAGCCACAATATACCACTCAGATAGAGAGAATGTAACCCTGGTAAATACTAGCCACAATATACCACTCAGATAGAGAGAATGTAACCCTGGTAAATACTAGCCACAATATACCACTCAGATAGAGAGAATGTAACCCTTGTAAATACTAGCCACAATATACCACTCAGATAGAGAGAATGTAACCCTTGTAAATACTAGCCACAATATACCACTCAGATCAGATAGAGAGAATGTAACCCTGGTAAATACTAGCCACAATATACCACTCAGAGAGAATGTAACCCTGGTAAATACTAGCCACAATATACCACTCAGAGAGAATGTAACCCTGGTAAATACTAGCCACAATATACCACTCAGCTAGAGAGAATGTAACCCTGGTAAATACTAGCCACAATATACCACTCAGATAGAGAGAATGTAACCCTGGTAAATACTAGCCACAATATACCACTCAGATAGAGAGAATGTAACCCTGGTAAATACTAGCCACAATATACCACTCAGATAGAGAGAATGTAACCCTGGTAAATACTAGCCACAATATACCACTCAGATAGAGAGAATGTAACCCTGGTAAATACTAGCCACAATATACCACTCAGATAGAGAGAATGTAACCCTGGTAAATACTAGCCACAATATACCACTCATAGAGAGAATGTAACCCTGGTAAATACTAGCCACAATATACCACTCAGATAGAGAGAATGTAACCCTGGTAAATACTAGCCACAATATACCACTCAGCTAGAGAGAATGTAACCCTGGTAAATACTAGCCACAATATACCACTTAGATAGAGAGAATGTAACCCTGGTAAATACTAGCCACAATATACCACTCAGATAGAGAGAATGTAACCCTGGTAAATACTAGCCACAATATACCACTCAGATAGAGAGAATGTAACCCTGGTAAATACTAGCCACAATATACCACTCAGATAGAGAGAATGTAACCCTGGTAAATACTAGCTACAATATACCACTCAGATAGAGAGAATGTAACCCTGGTAAATACTAGCTACAATATACCACTCAGATAGAGAGACTGTAACCCTGGTAAATACTAGCCACAATATACCACTCAGAGAGAATGTAACCCTGGTAAATACTAGCCACAATATACCACTCAGATAGAGAGAATGTAACCCTGGTAAATACTAGCCACAATATACCACTCAGATAGAGAGAATGTAACCCTGGTAAATACTAGCCACAATATACCACTCAGATAGAGAGAATGTAACCCTGGTAAATACTAGCTACAATATACCACCCTGATAGAGAGAATGTAACCCTGGTAAATACTAGCCACAATATACCACTCAGTAAATACTAGCCACAATAGAGAGAATGTAACCCTGGTAAATACTAGCCACAATATACCACAATGGTAAATACTAGCCACAATATACCACTTAGATAGAGAGAATGTAACCCTGGTAAATACTAGCCACAATATACCACTCAGATAGAGAGAATGTAACCCTGGTAAATACTAGCCACAATATACCACTCAGATAGAGAGAATGTAACCCTGGTAAATACTAGCCACAATATACCACTCTGCTAGAGAGAATGTAACCCTGGTAAATACTAGCCACAATATACCACTCAGATAGAGAGAGGGTAACCCTGGTAAATACTAGCCACAATATACCACTCAGATAGAGAGAATGTAACCCTGGTAAATACTAGCCACAATATACCACTCAGATAGAGAGACTGTAACCCTGGTAAATACTAGCCACAATATACCACTCAGAGAGAATGTAACCCTGGTAAATACCGGCCACAATATACCACTCAGAGAGAATGTAACCCTGGTAAATACTAGCTACAATATACCACTAGAGAGGTAACCCTGGTAAATACTAGCCACAATATACCACTTAGATAGAGAGAATGTAACCCTGGTAAATACTAGCCACAATATACCACTCAGATAAAGAGAATGTAACCCTGGTAAATACTAGCCACAATATACCACTCAGATAGAGAGAATGTAACCCTGGTAAATACTAGCTACAATATACCACTCAGATAGAGAGAATGTAACCCTGGTAAATACTAGTCACAATATACCACTCAGAGAAAATGTAACCCTGGTAAATACTAGTCACAATATACCACTCAGATAGAGAGAAGGTAACCCTGGTAAATACTAGCCACAATATACCACTCAGAGAGAATGTAACCCTGGTAAATACTAGCCACAATATACCACTCAGAGAGAATGTAACCCTGGTAAATACTAGCCACAATATACCACCCTGATAGAGAGAATGTAACCCTGGTAAATACTAGCCACAATATACCACTCAGATAGAGAGAATGTAACCCTGGTAAATACTAGCCACAATATACCACTCAGGGAGAATGTAACCCTGGTAAATACTAGCCACAATATACCACTCAGAGAGAATGTAACCCTGGTAAATACTAGCCACAATGTACCACTCAGAGAGAATGTAACCCTGGTAAATACTAGCCACAATATACCACTCAGATAGAGAGAATGTAACCCTGGTAAATACTAGCCACAATATACCACCCTGATAGAGAGAATGTAACCCTGGTAAATACTAGCCACAATATACCACTTAGATAGAGAGAATGTAACCCTGGTAAATACTAGCCACAATATACCACTCATAGAGAATGTAACCCTGGTAAATACTAGCCACAATATACCACTTAGATAGAGAGAATGTAACCCTGGTAAATACTAGCTACAATATACCACCCTGATAGAGAGAATGTAACCCTGGTAAATACTAGCCACAATATACCACCCTGATAGAGAGAATGTAACCCTGGTAAATACTAGCCACAATATACCACTTAGATAGAGAGAATGTAACCCTGGTAAATACTAGCCACAATATACCACTCATAGAGAGAATGTAACCCTGGTAAATACTAGCCACAATATACCACTTAGATAGAGAGAATGTAACCCTGGTAAATACTAGCCACAATATACCACTCGGCTAGAGAGAACTTCTCTGTAGCTTAGTAACCCTGGTAAATACTAGCTACAATATACCACTTAGATAGAGAGAATGTAACCCTGGTAAATACTAGCCACAATATACCACTCAGCTAGAGAGAATGTAACCCTGGTAAATACTAGCTACAATATACCACTTAGATAGAGAGAATGTAACCCTGGTAAATACTAGCCACAATATACCACTTAGATAGAGAGAATGTAACCCTGGTAAATACTAGCCACAATATACCACTCATAGAGAATGTAACCCTGGTAAATACTAGCCACAATATACCACTTAGATAGAGAGAATGTAACCCTGGTAAATACTAGCCACAATATACCACTCAGCTAGAGAGAATGTAACCCTGGTAAATACTAGCCACAATATACCACTTAGATAGAGAGAATGTAACCCTGGTAAATACTAGCTACAATATACCACCCTGATAGAGAGAATGTAACCCTGGTAAATACTAGCCACAATATACCACCCTGATAGAGAGAATGTAACCCTGGTAAATACTAGCCACAATATACCACTTAGATAGAGAGAATGTAACCCTGGTAAATACTAGCCACAATATACCACTCATAGAGAATGTAACCCTGGTAAATACTAGCCACAATATACCACTTAGATAGAGAGAATGTAACCCTGGTAAATACTAGCCACAATATACCACTTAGATAGAGAGAATGTAACCCTGGTAAATACTAGCCACAATATACCACTCAGCTAGAGAGAATGTAACCCTGGTAAATACTAGCTACAATATACCACTTAGATAGAGAGAATGTAACCCTGGTAAATACTAGCCACAATATACCACTCAGATAAAGAGAATGTAACCCTGGTAAATACCAGCTACAATATACCACTCAGATAGAGAGAATGTAACCCCGGTAAATACTAGCCACATTATACCACTCAGATAGAGAGAATGTAACCCCGGTAAATACTAGTCACAATATACCACTCAGATAGAGAGAATGTAACCCTGGTAAATACCAGCTACAATATACCACTCACAGAGAGAATGTAACCCTGGTAAATACTAGCCACAATATACCACTCAGCTAGAGAGAATGTAACCCTGGTAAATACTAGCTACAATATACCACTTAGATAGAGAGAATGTAACCCTGGTAAATACTAGCCACAATATACCACTCAGATAAAGAGAATGTAACCCTGGTAAATACCAGCTACAATATACCACTCAGATAGAGAGAATGTAACCCCGGTAAATACTAGCCACATTATACCACTCAGATAGAGAGAATGTAACCCCGGTAAATACTAGTCACAATATACCACTCAGATAGAGAGAATGTAACCCTGGTAAATACCAGCTACAATATACCACTCAGAGAGAAGGTAACCCTGGTAAATACTAGCCACAATATACCACTCAGCTAGAGAGAATGTAACCCTGGTAAATACTAGCCACAATATACCACTTAGATAGAGAGAATGTTACATATGTAGTCACCTGACAGGTAAATTAGTGATCGCGGATGTCGCTACTCAGGATGTACTGAATGGTCCATTCCATATGTAGGACATAACTGCTTCTACTTGTACAATATCAGTTATGGGACTGAAAACTTACCGATGGACGGCCATATTGGGTTTAGACTGTGAATGTTTATAATTATTTATTGATAATTTCTAGTTGGAACGTCCTGATATTCTATATTTAGGCTTCCATGTGTCCCAAATTGTGCATTTTCAATTTTGGTACTGGTCAACAAAAAAAAACACAAAAAAAAACCAAATTGGTCGAAAGTTATTGTAGAAGATAGCCGTTCCCTGATAAGTAAGGGGGATGGATCCTATTCACTAAAACGCTTGTTTACCTTGGTAAGTTACGGCCATTGTTCAGTTGTGAACGGATGAACAGAGTGACAACCAATTTTGATTTTGTTTGTTACCGTTATTTATCGCAGTGTACTTGGTGGGATTGAAATATTTGACGAAACTTTATCTGAACTGAAAGATTAAAGGCTAATTTGTGGCATTCGCAGTTTTCTTAACGACGAAGACCTTTGTTGGAAAGAACGATGCAACTTGTGAAGGGCAGGTCTGCTTTTTGGGGCCCCATTCAACATTGAACTGAGTGTTGGTTTTACAGGAAAACGTGTTGGTTTTACAGTAGAACGTGTCGGCCTGACTCCGTGTGAGAGAGCCTCAGTAAACATTGTTCTAAATGTTAGTTTTACATGAGAACGTGTCCGCCTGGCTCTATGAGATATCGCCGCAGTAAACGTTGTTCTGAGTGTGTTTGTTTTACAGGAGAACGTGTCCGCCTGGCTCTATGAGATATGGTCTCAGTAAACATTGTTCTGAGTGTGTTTGTTTTACAGGAGAACGTGTCCGCCTGGCTCTATGAGATATCGCCTCAGTAAACATTGTTCTGAGTGTGTTTGTTTTACAGGAGAACGTGTCCGCCTGGCTCTATGAGATATGGTCTCAGTAAACGTTGTTCTGAGTGTGTTTGTTTTACAGGAGAACGTGTCCGCCTGGCTCTATGAGATATCGCCTCAGTAAACATTGTTCTGAGTGTGTTTGTTTTACAGGAGAACGTGTCCGCCTGGCTCTATGAGATATGGTCTCAGTAAACATTGTTCTAAATGTTAGTTTTACAGGAGAACGTGTCCGCCTGGCTCTATGAGATATGGTCTCAGTAAACATTGTTCTGAGTGTGTTTGTTTTACAGGAGAACGTGTCCGCCTGGCTCTATGAGATATGGTCTCAGTAAACATTGTTCTGAGTGTGTTTGTTTTACAGGAGAACGTGTCCGCCTGGCTCTATGAGATAGGGCTGGAACAGTACTACGGCGCCTTCAAATCAAACAAAATCACGGCACCAAAGGATCTGGAAATTCTCAAATCTTTTTCACGAAAAGAAATTGAAACGGAATTGAAAATCACCAAATCTGGTAAGTATTCTTGCTATATATCAACGAGGAAAACTTTCGACAAAGTCTTTGTGATACTGGCTCTGAAATATGCCGTACGATTTTAAGTCTCAAAGTGGTACCAAATCCGAGACCTTTATGTAAATAAATGTTTTGCAACAAAATATAATAAACAAGAAAAAATTACAATAAACCGAGTAAACCGCCTCTTTGACGAAGAACTTCTAAGTAACCATAAGTCATTCCTGATCTACCCGGATAACAATGTCAAGGGTATCGATTTATTGTTTATTGATTCAGCATGTATCACTATAGTAACCTGATGTGTCGTATTAATTCAGGTCACGTGGCTAGACTGTTGACCGCCATCAAGCACCTGAGGAACCCAACTGAAGGTAAATTCTTAAAGTATCAAGGGAGATAACTCTCGTGTTTCTGGCGCTTATGATTCCTCCAAGGATATCTTTCAAGCACATCTACATTATATACACTGTTGACAAAAGGGGATGTATAAGTAGCGGGACTTTTTCATGGCTTATAAAATGATTTATATTGGTTTTCATATTTCCTACTTATGCCACGGAAATGTTCTGTTGTGTCAAAAAATGTGTTGAAATCGTTATAATAAAGTTGTCCAAATAAAGACAAAAAGATCCTTAAAAAATTGACACCATAAATTGAAGTGTAAACTTTGACAGAATCTTGTTATACATATAAAAACAGTATTTATATACTTACGGATACTGGACAAAAAAAGATGCAAGAAGTATAAAATTTCCCTTTTTCAGAGGAATTGAAACGTATCGAGGTGAAGAAACAGCTCGGCAACACGGAGTGTTACGAGATAGAACACATTAACCAAGAGGAACATATCTTTTGGAATGAGCTGAAGGACGTCTGTCTCAAGCCTAGCTCTACCGCATTCGGTCACAACGAGGACCTGAAAGGTGCCACATAAAGGAGAAAATGAACTTTTTTATCATGTACCTCTTTAGAATATGTCAAGAAGGGCTAGGAACTTTTTACCAAAGATTTAAAAAAGACAAAAACAAAATATAAAAAAAGAACAAAAAAAAAAAAACAAGAAAAAGAATAAGAAAAACAAAAACAAAAAAAAAACAGAAACAGAAAAAAGTTAAAAAGCACGTTTCAATATGAGAAAAGGATTGTGATATAAATGCACCGTGCAGTCTTAACTTTACATTAATGTACAGGTGTAAATATATAGATTAGAACTTTACACACCTTTTTTTGTACAGGTGTAAATATATAGAATAGAACTTTACACTCCTGTACAGGTGTAAATATATAGAATAGAACTTTACACTCTTGTACAGGTGTAAATATATAGAATAGAACTTGACGCTCCTGTACAGGCGAAAATATATAGAATAGATCTTTACACACCTTTTTTTGTACATGTGTAAATATATAGAATAGAACTTTACACTCATGTACAGGTGTAAATATATAGAATAGAACTTTACGCTCCTGTACAGGCGAAAATATATAGAACTGAACTTTACACTCCTGTACAGGTGTAAATATATAGAATAGAACTTTACGCTCCTGTACAGGTGAAAATATATAGAATAGATCTTTACACTCCTGTACAGGTGTAAATATATAGATTAGAACTTTACACTCCTGCACAGGTGTAAATATACAGAATAGAACGTTACACTCCTGTACAGGCGAAAATATATAGAACCGGTACACGTGTAAATATATAGAATAGAACTTAACACTCCGGTACGATGTGTTGTGTTTATACCAGATGGACAAATCTATTGTTTCACTAACCATTCTAGATGTCACATTGATGGCCACCGGGTAAATATATTACTCATCCTGTAAGTTATATTTCAGAAAAACTTGGAGAGTTAAGAAACAACTTTCTCGGGATTCTCGCGGTCTCTAACACCTTGTGGTTGATTCTCCTGGCAACCCTGGCATCTAAGATGGAGCTAAAAGTTTCTGGAACGGATCCTGTCGGTAAGTTATCAAATTTTATAAAGTTATCCATTTGACGTGTCGTCCACGTGTATCACATCGGGACATCTGATGTCCCATATCACGTGACATCGTCACGCGCCGGACAATCTGCTACTTCCGACATGATATTACACCATGACACCTGGTGTACCTACCAACGTGATACCATTTGACATGTGTCTTTTTTTTTTTATAAAAGTTCTCTACTTGTGAAACCAGGAATTCTATAGTATTTACTCATTTATTTGTCAGCACTTTAGCGGTTTCACATCTTGAGGAATTTTCATCAATTTACTTTCAGATTCAGGTTTGTGAGGCCAAGGTCGTGCTTCTCTCCCTGAAAGATCTTTTATAAAAATCACACACCTTTAAAGCACCTTAATGTCTTAAACAAGTTCAAATTTCAGGATTGTTGGGTCACCTGTACTATTTCCTCACAGGATTTTGGTCAAAACTCACCCACTTACAGAAGAGCATAACGCGGTCTTTCATATAACCTTGCTTCGTTGAATTCACTTACATACTAATGATAAAACCTCTAAACCACACCATCTTTATAAATCATTACAGGGTCGGTGGGGAACATGGCTTACTTTAGCAATAAATAATGTGCTTGTTGTTTCAGGACTGGTGTTCTTGGGAATTTTCGGTTTTCTCTTCGTCCTGCAGTTTCTTTGTATGCTTGTCCATCGCCTGACGACCTTCGGTCACTTCTGTGCGCGCGCGCCTTACAGATTTGGCCATCAGTATAACAGTTCCTGGAAGTTTGCGGACGGTAACACGGGCTGTAATTTAAGCGATGACGACAGACAGGCTCTCAACGAAGCCAAGGAGGGCGATAAAAAGATAAAAGCTCGTTTAATATCCCAGAAGCGAAAACACCGGAAACAGCATGTGTCTATAGCAGACGAGAAAGAACATTTACTAAAGGACCTCAATAAGACTTCTTATTTCTGAACCAAAATATTGGAAATATTCAGGAAATAGTTTACAGTGTCAGTGTAGGGGAGGCGTGTCTCTGATGACCGCCTCTCAGGCATTCGTCATCAGACCGAAGTAATTTAATTGTTTGATTGTTTGGACAGGAATTATGTAAGTTTAAATATTTGTTCAAAGGTACTTGTGGACATGAGTGTTTGTGAGGGTCTATACTCAGAACCAGACTAACTTAAAAACGTGTTAATTTCCTCGCAAACAATCAACAACACATATCTACCTCCGCGAAAGGAAAAAAGTCTAATCATTCCATGAAAGAGTTGATACTGTTATTTTGCAAAATAAATATTTATATATATATATATCAGATCAGCAAATCATAAATATTCAAATATAATACCATTTTATCTGTGATAAGACGATAACTACATTATATACACATCACCACTGTTAGGCTCATTTCTTGCCGGTCGAGTTGCTTCCCCTTGTCCATCCTTTTCAAGTTTGATGAAATCGTGATCGTACAAGGCCTTAAAACATTTTCATTCACCTAGGTTGCTAAGATGATCATATCATAATTGAACGGGTGAACAATTCCCGACAGTTTTTGACTCCGGAAGTATATGATTTAGTTTCATTTTGACTGATACGTCCGTGCACTCGGTTTCCGAGAGCCAGTTTCCTACACAATGTAATAGATAAGTGAATTTTTTTCAGTGCTGAAAAGAGTATCGTGACAATTGATAAAAAATGTTTATAGAAAATTTGATCTTTTTTTTTACAAAACGATACACGAGTAGAGCTTTGTATAGTAAAATGGTACCAATCTTCGTTCGTAATCTGTGAAAGATTTATTGACTAAAATGTATTAGCTGGTAAACTACATAGCTTTGAACAAATTCGTATAAAGCACCATCCTGAGAAAGAATCGATCAGCTTCATGGCTACACACTCAGTATACTAATATTACAGATTTGAATATGTCACGTGATTCAATCACTAAATATTTAAATTACCAATTACACTGTAAAGTTTTACTAGCAAATATTGATGTTATGACGTTCTGCAAATCGTTAGGTCAAAGGTCGTAGGTCAAGTTTATAGGAAGAACTCAATTTTCATTCGTTGTTCCAGTTTAGTCGAAACGTTTTGTTACTTGTCAACTGTAATTAAAATAAGGAAAGAGTTTCCGATAATTCAACAAAAGCTGCAAACACCGTGACAGTTTTTAGAGAGTACGGAGATGGGTTACATGAACTAGTCTGATGAATTTCATATTGTGAATACTTACTATGTTGATGTCTATTTTGTGTAAATCATTTTCGGTCAGAACTCCGAAAGATTTTAATTGTCAAACTGTTATATTAATAAATACTCATTGATCGTAACATTGTTTGTGGTTTCAATTTGTCCTGGAACAAGAACAACAGATTTTGAGTCCGGATCTGTTAAAATGAATTTAAAATTACTTCTGTAAACTGGTCTTACCTAAGTGGTCAATGAAGGATTTCTTTCGAGCGATTTCAACAGGATCTAGTCACGTGTTCCTACCGTGTGATCTCAGAGGGATCTAGTTACGTGTTCCTGCCGTGGGATCTCAGACGGATCTAGTCACGAGTTTCTACCGTGGGATCTAGGGATCTAGCCTTGAGTTAATATGGCACACACAAGAAGGACCAGCGCTGAACATGTCCGTAAAGTTTAGATACGGTTCCTCACTCAGTTGCTCACCAAGAGATCACAAATTGATGATTTTGGTGCCCGCTTCTGATTAATCATTGTTCTTTAGAAATTGGATCCTTCCCCTTTATTTTTTCATTGCTCTTCATGATAGGAAACTTGAGGATTTCTCAGAAGAAGTGGTGAAAATAACGATCCTTGTCCAATCCAAGATGACCACCTTTCAACCATTTTGTTTTCCTAGTCAGTCCTAAAATTAACAGGGCACAGCTTGGGAGCAAGAGGAACCTACACAAAAAATTAAGTAGACCAATCAGTATTTCTTACGAAAATAGCATCAACAAATCTTCATAGTTTAAAATCCAAGATGGACACTCATCAGCCATTTTGTTTAGCTTATCACTCCCAAAATCAAGAGGGCACGACTAGGGACCAAGAGGAACCTACGTATGAAATTCGAGAAAAATTAATGATGAACTATGTAAGAAATAATGAAAACATGCATTGAAAAAAATAAAGATGACTGCATGTGAGACAGTTTTTTTTTATCAAATTCATAATCCAAAGGCTACAACCAGTCAAATGCGAACCTGTACTTCGTTAATGGACGATTAGAGTATGTAGGCTAAAAGCAAATATAAATGTGACTATAAATGATACAATCAAAATCCGCACAGAAGTTTTCAGCTGGTATAATATTCAGCCCTTTGACTCTACAAAACACCTAATCCATATGTTATAAATTTTTACTGCTGCCAAGGATTCATAATTCAACACAGCTCAAACTGTTCTATGTAAAGAATAATCGACTGCATCGTAAATCTTTAGACCATCTTATTTCCAGTATCAATTTCCATAATTACTCATGTAAACCTACATTTGTGAAGACTGAAATTAACCAGATCAATGTTTTGTGACAGAGAGTAAGTAACCAGATCAATGTTTTGTGACAGAGAGTAAGTAACCAGATCAATGTTTAGTGACAGAGAGTAAGTAACCAGATCAATGTTTAGTGACTGAGAGTAAGTAACCAGATCAATGTTTAGTGACTGAGAGTAAGTAACCAGATCAATGTTTTGTGACAGAGAGTAAGTAACCAGATCAATGTTTTGTGACAGAGAGTAAGTAACCAGATCAATGTTTTGTGACAGAGAGTAAGTAACCAGATCAATGTTTTGTGACAGAGAGTAAGTAACCAGATCAATGTTTTGTGACAGAGAGTAACCAGATCAATGTTTTGTGACAGATCAAATGTTTCAATGTTTTGTGACAGAGAGAGAGTAAGTAACCAGATCAATGTTTTGTGACAGAGAGTAAGTAACCAGATCAATGTTTTGTGACAGAGAGTAAGTAACCAGATCAATGTTTTGTGACAGAGAGTAAGTAACCAGATCAATGAGTGACAGAGAGTAAGTAAGAGAGTGACAGAGTAAGTAACCAGATCAATGTTTTGTGACAGAGAGTAAGTAACCAGATCAATGTTTTCTGACAGAGTAAGTAACCAGATCAATGTTTTGTGACAGAGTAAGTAACCAGATCAATGTTTTGTGACAGAGTAAGTAACCAGATCAATGTTTTGTGACAGAGAGTAAGTAACCAGATCAATGTTTTGTGACAGAGAGTAAGTAACCAGATCAATGTTTTGTGACAGAGAGTAAGTAACCAGATCAATGTTTTGTGACAGAGAGTAAGTAACCAGATCAATGTTTTGTGACAGAGAGTAAGTAACCAGATCAATGTTTTGTGACAGAGAGTAAGTAACCAGATCAATGTTTTGTGACAGAGAGTAAGTAACCAGATCAATGTTTTGTGACAGAGAGTAAGTAACCAGATCAATGTTTTGTGACAGAGAGTAAGTAACCAGATCAATGTTTTGTGACAGAGTAAGTAACCAGATCAATGTTTTGTGACAGAGAGTAAGTAACCAGATCAATGTTTTGTGACTGAGAGTAAGTAACCAGATCAATGTTTTGTGACAGAGAGTAAGTAACCAGATCAATGTTTTGTGACTGAGAGTAAGTAACCAGATCAATGTTTTGTGACAGAGAGTAAGTAACCAGATCAATGTTTTGTGACAGAGAGTAAGTAACCAGATCAATGTTTTGTGACTGAGAGTGTGACAGAGAGTAAGTAACCAGATCAATGTTTTGTGACAGAGAGTAAGTAACCAGATCAATGTTTTGTGACAGAGAGTAAGTAACCAGATCAATGTTTTGTGACAGAGAGTAAGTAACCAGATCAATGTTTAGTGACTGAGAGTAAGTAACCAGATCAATGTTTTGTGACAGAGAGTAAGTAACCAGATCAATGTTCTGTGACAGAGAGTAAGTAACCACATCAATGTTTTCTGACAGAGAGTAAGTAACCACATCAATGTTTTGTGACAGAGAGTAAGTAACCAGATCAATGTTTTGTGACAGAGAGTAAGTAACCAGATCAATGTTTTGTGACAGAGAGTAAGTAACCAGATCAATGTTTTGTGACAGAGAGTAAGTAACCAGATCAATGTTTAGTGACAGAGAGTAAGTAACCAGATCAATGTTTAGTGACTGAGAGTAAGTAACCAGATCAATGTTTTGTGACAGAGAGTAAGTAACCAGATCAATGTTTTGTGACAAATCTATGGTTTGTGACTGAGAGTAAGTAACCAGATCAATGTTTTGTGACAGAGAGTAAGTAACCAGATCAATGTTTTGTGACAGAGAGTAAGTAACCAGATCAATGTTTTGTGACAGAGAGTAAGTAACCAGATCAATGTTTTGTGACAGAGTAAGTAACCAGATCAATGTTTTGTGACAGAGAGTAAGTAACCAGATCAATGTTTTGTGACAGAGAGTAAGTAACCAGATCAATGTTTTGTGACAGAGAGTAAGTAACCAGATCAATGTTTTGTGACAGAGAGTAAGTAACCAGATCAATGTTTAGTGACTGAGAGTAAGTAACCAGATCAATGTTTTGTGACAGAGAGTAAGTAACCAGATCAATGTTTTGTGACAGAGAGTAAGTAACCAGATCAATGTTTTGTGACAGAGAGTAAGTAACCAGATCAATGTTTTGTGACAGAGTAAGTAACCAGATCAATGTTTAGTGACAGAGAGTAAGTAACCAAATCAATGTTTTGTGACTGAGAGTAAGTAACCAGATCAATGTTTAGTGACAGAGAGTAAGTAACCAGATCAATGTTTTGTGACAGAGAGTAAGTAACCAGATCAATGTTTTGTGACAGAGAGTAAGTAACCAGATCAATGTTTAGTGACAGAGAGTAAGTAACCAGATCAATGTTTTGTGACAGAGAGTAAGTAACCAGATCAATGTTTTGTGACAGAGAGTAAGTAACCAGA